TCCGAACAACAGTTAGGAATTTCGAATAACACCTATATGAGTTCCTACGAACCCAAACAACGGTGGACAACTTCTAGATCACTTCCTACGAACTCAAACAGTGGTGGACAACACCTCGATGGTTTTTATGACACCGGGCAATGGATTTGGAGCATTGGACAACACCCTACAACACTCCTATACTCCAAATAGTGATTTTGGAGCCTTGAACAACACTCCTATACTCTAAACAGTGGCTTTGGAGCCTTGGACAACACCCTACAACACTCTTATACTCCAAACAGTGGCTTTGGAGCCTTGGACAACACTCCATAGCTTTTCTACGACACCGGGCAGCGGCTTTGGAGCCTTGGACAGCACCCTACAACCCTCCTATACTCCAAAAAGTGGCTTTGGAGCCTTGGATAGCACTCCATAGCGTTTCTACGACACCGGGCAGCTGCTTTGGAGCCTTGGACAACACCCTATAGCGTCCCTACACTCCAAACAGTGACTTTGGAGCCTTGGACAACACTTTACAGCGTCTCTACACTCCAAACAATGACTTTGGAGCCTTAGACAGCAGCCTACAACGCTTCTACGACACCGGGCAGCAGCCTACCTCAAAACAGGTGTTCTAAATCCCCTCAAAACAGTCAACATATATTTTTAAATAGCTGGAAATAATTTCAGCAAGCTATAAGGCCTCTCCCAATCATTTCCAGAAGCATCATCCTTCGTTTGATTAGCTGAAAGTTTCACCTCATAGCCAAAATTATTGGCATACGAATTTTGTGTGTTTTCTGAAGTTTTGTGAATAGACTTAACCAGTTCTGATGGGGTGCAGCTGATATCTTGTTTAAAATACAACTTCACACCATAGAAAGGTAAAGTATTATGGTTTGGACTACCATTATTAGCTTGTGCAGATTGAGAAAAATCAGGTTGAGATGGGTTTTCATCGACAAGATCGGTAGAAGCCTCGTTCAGAGAGCAAGTTATATTGCAATTTCCTTCAGCAAGCACAATAGAAGTGGAAAGTACAGCATTATTTGGAACCAAAGAATGTAAGCTGTTTTCACCCAAACTATCAGAATAGACCTCCTGCTTTACTGGATCCAGGAAAGGGTGCCTTGTTAAGAATCTAGATTCCTTATGTAAGCTGACATAGGGAGAGAAAAAAAAACGAAGAAAGAGCAGCAGAACCAGGTGAATGAAATGTATGTATGTTGTGCACTGATTTAACAAGTTGAATTGGAGACAAACCATTGAATCATCATCAATCCGTGAGCAAGGTGCATATATTTGCTAGCATCACTTTCAATGAGGATTTATACCTAGCTGCAGTTACTTCTAATACATCATTCATTCATAAATTATATATCTTGGATGGCCCTTTCTTGCCCTTCCCCATACCAGACAACTCTATTCCAGAATCACTCCTACATAAATCAAGACAACACCCCCTCGTTTACTTTGTGACATAATGCAAATCTATCAGGAGGAGAAACTACTTACGTGAATAATAATTTTTTTTTAAAGGTGGATGAGTAAAAAAAAATGAACAAAACTCAAATCTCATAAATCCTTTCTCTGAATTGGGAAATCTATGATTTAAGGTAATGATTTAACTATAGCAAAAGAATCACCATGAGATTTGAATTAAAATTTGCCCAGAACCAGCTATCAATCAATCAGCTAGAGTTTACAGGTTACCTTGTTGAACGAGCGATGAAAAAAAAAAAGAGGCGGAGGGCCTCGATGCAGGGAGGTTGAAGTGAGTGAGGCTATTGATCGCACGAATGAAGAGGAGCGGAGAGGCTTCTGTCGTTCGAGGAAAAAGCGAGGCGGTCGAGAGGCGTGCGAGAGAGCGTCGGTCGCGCGAGAGATGAGCAAGGAGCTTCGGTTCTCACGCGAGGGGGAAAACATGAGTTGAGCGGGGGCTTCGTTTGATGCAGAGGAAGGAGAAACGAGCGGGAGAGCTGAATTGCAGAAGTGGGAGATTGGTATCGAAGCCGAATCGAGCGAACCAAGGAGGAAGAAGGCGAGTGTGAGATGTAGGCGGGCAGATGGGGTTCGGTCTTCGGTCGAGTGAGAGAAGGGAGGAGAGGGTTTCTGTTGAGCGAGATCGAGCGGGAGAGCCGAATGGGAGCTCCGATGGGATGCAGAGGAGAGGCGTGTGGGAGGGAGCGGTCGAGACTCGGTGCCGAGGAGAGGAGCCGAATCTTGTCATCTGAGGAAGATGGAGTCGAATGAATAATATCTAAAGGTGAAGTCCGAGCGGCATCTTTATCCATCGAATTCCAAATAGCCGTTAAGCATGTGTTGGGCGGGTAATTAAATGGTTTCCGAATGCAGGGAGGTTTAATTGGATTAACACCTGAATATTTTTAATTAAGACAAAATTTAAATTTGTTTAAATTTCAAACATGGGTTGAGCCCGGGCCCACACCCCGCTAAATGTAAATAAAGTGCATCGATATCCGTGCTAATCTCTCGTGCGCGAAACTATAACAATACGGGTATCCTTCCTAGCTAAAGTCGATGTCCCGGATGCATCCTTGTGGTCTGTTTCATCATCTAGGGTCGTACGGATGAGTTCGCTGACGGGCGGGTTAATTTAAGCCAAAAACGTGCGGGGTGCGATGCGTGCGCAAAATGCGGTCTTATCGAGCGTTCGGATCACAAAGGGGTTCCCTAGGGGCTGCTCCTATTAATGTAGGAACTCGACTCGAGTTTCATGTGTTTATCCTAATCAACTCAACGGAATGCTGAGGATTTGAGACAGCTCATGCGAAACTCGAAGGAGTGACGAGATGACTTGAATTTTCTAAATGGTGTGGGTTCCGTACTAGTCCTCTAGGAGGGTCAAACAAGAGAAGCCTAAAGCTAGACCTTAGGCTCTAAGGAGAGAAGTGAAGACCTCATTCGAAAATGAGATCAACAACCTCTCATTCTCATTTAGCGATTCACCATGTAATATCGCTTCATTCGATACATCCAACCATGTGCATCTTTCTCCCCAAAGATCAACATATTCAACTTCTTAACCCTAATATCTCCACCTCCAACTTCCTCTCCGGCGGTCCCCCCTATGTATCTATGGTGAAAATCCCTCATTCTATCATAGCCATACCCCATCCTGATTTCTATCATTCTTCGTACTCCTCCACATCCCTTGCATAACCCCTTCTCCTTGTTTCAGTCCTACTACCTCCTGCAAAAATCCCTAATCCACTCTCATCAAAACTTTAGAAGGGGTTCTTGATGGTGGATGCTTTCCTCCTTAAGTTCTTTTCATTTGATCCCTTCCCGTTCAAATTTGGCCAAGGGTTCTCCAGTCAAACCTTGGTTCGGGTTTGCAATTTGAATTGCTGGTGGGAATTTGGATTGCATCTCAATAAGCTCATCATCTTTTCCAAGCCCTCAAATTGATTTTCCACAGAGAAAAACCTTCATTCTATAGCTGAAAACATTTCTTCCATCACAGATTTAATTTGCCCTACTTCTCATTCCAATCTTTATTCCAAAACATCCACTTTCTTTGCTGCCATTTTTCTAAGATCTTGCTCTAATACCAAATTTATATTAATCGGAGCCAAAATCATCAAACAACTTGCAAGGAATATATGGGAAAATCCAAATTCGGGCTAATGTGATTAATTTCCAAGCAAGCAAACAAACAAGATACAATGAGTGATCTACAATCTGAGAGGTAGGTTGACTCTCCACAATCCCTAGACAATGTTAGGAACAAGAAGACAAAAAAAATGTAGGAATCCAAATATGAAATCTTACTCTAGGTGATTAGCCCTAATAAAATACGTCCAATACACAGTCAAACTTTTCCCCCAAAACCACTTCTAATTCCTCTCCTCGCATACTTGATTAGGGGCTTAATGGACCCCACTCGGGTGCTGGAATCCTCTCGTGCGTGAACTAAGGTTTCTTCTCCCTGGGCTGGGCCGAGCTGGGCCTAGAGGGGCCGATATAACACAATCCTTGGATGCATGAAGTCAAAGTTGTTATTATCGAAGTTAAAAACATGAACATTATTGAGTTTCTTAAGCAAGCCATGGACAAGCAAGTTTAGCAGAACAAAGTTGAAGAAATTTAGAGTTTCACCTTTCTAAATTTAAGCAAGTCTTTTCTCGGCTTCTGCACAGGAGATGCAACAAGGCTGCACACTTTTGCGCTCAATTAGACTTTCAAGTAGTTTAGTTTTGGATGAGGGTTTTGATAATCATGCTTTATATGCTGTTATTTATAAGGACAAGCCTTGTTTCTATGGTGCCCAATGATACGTTTTTTTTGTTTTTAATTCAATGTTTCATGTAACTTTTATAAAAAAAGAGATTAATGTTGCGTTAACAAAACTTGTATATGATGAGCTATGCAGTTTCATTGTTTTTTTTATTTTTTTCTCCCTAAACCTACGTTTGATTTTTGTTTGCTTGAGTTAATTTTCTTCATGTACTTCTTGTAATGGATTCTGCATCAAAATTTCCTGCACAAATTCCAGAGAGTATTTGTCTCTTGTGAATTAATTAATTACAATACTTATTTGTACCTCATGCATTATGCCTTTGCATGCTTGCCTGTGTTTGCTTGCTTGAGGTAGTGCCTATTGACCAAACTTTCGGTTTATTTTCCTCCTTTTACTCACTTCAGGACAATGTCAGAAGCCAGTCATGGCTTTATTTGTATTTTATGTGCTTTTCAGACCTCTAGCTTCCTTTTTTTGTCAAAGCTGTTAGTTACTATATTATCAGTATTGAGTTTGGAAGGTGCCTTTGAACTACTTAGGAAGGCGTCTATGCTTTTTGACTTTTTTTTTTTCAGACTTGCGTTTCATGGAACTATTTTCAGTGGAATTTCTTCGGATATATTCTTTTTTTTTGTTATCATATTGCTTAATATTTGTTGGAATTTTTTAGTTTTGCTCTATAATTTTTCTGCAAAATTTTTTCTTGATTGACTTAAATGCACAGATTTTTGAGTAACTAATTTTCTTCATGTAGCTTGCCCAAAACTATGGCAGATTCCTCATGTGCTTATTGTCCACGGAGAAAGTGGCAGCCGTGTTGATGATTTGCAGGTTTTATATTACTTTTTTTGTTTATCTGTTTTTTGTTAAAAAATTATCCATCTCCTTTTTATAAAATTCGTTTTTTAACAGAAGAAAAAACCTGTAAATTGGGTTTTGCACAAGCCACCGCTTCCTATTTCTTATGGAACACATCACTCCAAGGCAATCTTTCTTGTATACGAAAAAGGGGTGCGCATCATCATACATTCTGCAAATTTAATCTATGTTGATTGGAACAACAAAACTCAGGGATTATGGATGCAAGATTTTCCTTGCAAAAATGTTAAGAACTTGTGTGAGAGCTCTTTGTTCGAGAGGGACTTAATTGATTATCTCAGCGCTCTTAAGGTACTCTTTCTGACTTCTCTTTTCTTTAACTTCACAGCTCCCATAATAGTGACCCACCCATTTTGTTTCCCTTCTTTTCAGCTCTTTGCGAGTTGCAATACTTTATTCTAAAATTTTTTATGCTCTGCCTGTTACATCCTATTTATTTGCACGAGGAAATTTCTATTAACAATTCCAATTGTTTAAGAGGTTAACTTTCATGGTGAATCACATATATAATGGCAGCATCTTCTGCAAACTTTTTTTAACATATATTAGCTTCTTAAATATTTGGTTTATCTTTTAAAAATTGTCTAAACACTTGAAATTAAGTTTGCAATGTATCTTATAGTTGGTATTTTTTTTGAGATCATGCTTGCACTGTACAATTCCAGTTGTACATCTTAAATCTATTTAACGAGTTAGCTAGTCATCTGAAAGTCTTCTCCAACAATTCACCTGCTCCCCATACCCAATTTTCAGGAAATAAAACGAATATATATGAGGAAATGAAGTGTAATATCGATAAACAAAGTTACAGAGAGAAACTTCGTTCATTTGAAAGTGAGAAAATTTATGAATAGGTAAGGCATGAAGAAGGAATAAGTAAGGTTTGTTTGATGTAGTATGTCTTCTGATTGATGATGTGACCTAGATGGATAGAATTTTTTTTTTATTTGAATTTTAAACTAATTAGGAATTAGCAATTATTTATTTTATCTTTTGTTTTCATGAATATTACCTATTAGTTAGTTCATGGGAGTTTAACATTTTAGCTACTCTGGTATTTCTTATAATTGAGAGAGAGAATTTTGGGTGGGTGGGTTGGGGGTTTGGCCATAGGAGGAGAAGAAGGATGTAAGAAATTATTGTAATCAAGCCCCCAAGTGTAAAATTTTAGAAAGTAATAAAGCAAAGGTTAAAAAAAACATGTTATTCACTATGATATCAAATTGACGTATGGTACATAATAAAGTAGTGAAAACCAATAGAAAATAGAAAGAATTAAATGTAAAGATACAAGGGAATGTAACCTTAGTTTGTTTATATTGTTTCTTTGAGACATTGGGTTGTCCTTAAAGAAAGAAAATCACAAAGCCAAAATAGGACGTTGACAAATATTGTGTAAGCAAACAACCGCATAGAGGTTATTGCTTAAGATTGAGTCTTTGTAGATGATTAAAAATCTCTCTAAAAATATTATTAAAATCAGTTAATGCACTTTGCATGCTAGAAAGTATGTCCATGTAATCACATCTTAATGATTGTAATTTTATTTTTAAGGATCTAATGAATATTTATGTTATGATTGATGATGACTATCAATATTTACTAGTTTTGTGCTCTTATAATTTTTCTATGATATTATGTTATATGATAGAGAATGTTAAAAATTCATGTTATTGTCAAAGTACAAGCATAAGAAATACTGAGCATATTTACCCTACATTAATTTTTGTTCCTATGTTATTGCCAACATGTACAGCTATGATGGAAAATATATAATATTTATTTTGCATGTTTATTTTTTCTTCTTTCACAACCAAAATGTCCAGTCATGTCATCAAAAAATGTGGTGAAATTCTGAAAAAGAAATTATTCTTTTGACGCCTTTTTTCTGTCAATCCTAAAGTAATCTTTCATTTTGGTCCATCTCGATGGATTTTTTTGCAGTTTTGTTATTCATACCAAATGAGGAATACATGACCATATCATTTTGTTAATCATGCAGTTGCCTGGCTTAAATGCAAATCTGCCTAAATTTGGCGATGTGAACGTAAATGCATCATTCTTCAAGAAGTTTGATTATAGCAATGCTGCGGTACTATATTCTAATATTTTTCCTTTGCTTTGTCCAATGTCTACTTATATGCAAGCACTCTGCTTTGCTTGGTATTAAATCTTAATTTTTTAACTCTTCTAATCGCTAGGTACGGTTAATTGCATCAGTTCCTGGATATCATTCAGGCCCAAATCTCAAGAAATGGGGGCACATGAAAATGAGAGTAGTTCTTGAAGAGTGTGAGTTCGACAAAGAGTTCTCTAAAGCTCCTCTTGCTTACCAGGTTAGTTGTTTGGCTTTGAAAATTTTGTCCTTCTTTGGATTGTACTAGCCTGTTTCATGGATAATCTTATGGAATGTGATTCTTAGTGTGAAAAAAAACAGCTCTTTCTCTTATTCTTCTATTGCAAGCATATGTTGTATATTTATATACACTTTAATCTCTATAGTTTAAGAATATTTCTAAAAGAGGAAAGATCCTGCAATTAGATCTCCTCTAATTTGGTTATCTAATATAGAAAATATATTTATTAGATTTCCTATAATGAAGCTACTTAATATACTGCCATTACATTTCATACTTTCCATTACACTTAGCAAACTAATCCATTTTCCTTTTCTAACAATATTTAGAGTTTTATGCATGCATTGTTGCTTTTAATTATCTCAGTTGTGGCTTTGCATTTTTCTTTGAGTCTTTCATCATCCTAGGATTGAGTGATTGTCTCTTTTGCTTTATAGTTTGGGGCATTTACATAAAAACCACCCACTTCTTTGTATTTACTTATCTAACACCTAAATTTTTTTTTTACATTTATACCACTCAAGTCATTCACATCACATAAAATATAGCACCAGTTGAACTTTAAAAAAGTAAAATACAGCTTTTCAGACATAAGGTGTCTTGTATGTAAAAATTAAAGTTTAGGTGTTAGATATGTAAATACATACTAATTTAATGGTATGTATGTAAATCTTTAATCTTATAGTTTTTGCCATTAGTGTAGATTATTAAATGAAATATGCATTGCTATTTGTCTTCATCTTTGTCATCCTATTAACAGCATGTGGAAGCATTTTGTGCTTCGAATAGACTGAGATGTGAGCACCTCTAAACGTTTGAGGTTTAATGAGAATTAGTTTGGAAGTTGGTAAGAATGTAAATAATGGCCTTTTTGGCATTAATCATTTGTAATATTAATCTTCTGAAACTCTGGTGGAGTTCTGTGAATATGTTTTTATTTGTTGGAGACAGTTTTTGTGGTTTGCTACTAGATAAAAGTCTCTTTTTCATGCGTGACTGTTGGTACGAAACCTGGAGGAAAAAAAAATTGTTCATCTTTCTTTCAGTTTTTTATTCTGTTATAGAATCTCTCTCATAGCATATATTTTTCAAGTAATATTTATATAATTGTTCTACACTGAAGCCTATTCAGTAACTCATGTCGAAAAGCAAATTTTTTCATGGCAGTTTTCATCTTTAGGCTCATTGGATGAAAGGTGGATGTCAGAGTTTGGCGCGTCCATGTCGTCAGGAATTTCACATGATAAATCACCGTTAGGCCTAGGGAAGCCTGTAATCATTTGGCCAACGGTGGAAGATGTTAGATGCTCTCTGGAGGTGTGTTATTGCTAACTTTCTTCCGCGCCGATTTAAGTATGATGATAATGCCTGAAGCTCTAATATCTCTTAATTTTAATAAACTTGAAATTGCAATCAATTAATTTTGACTCATGAATGGGTATCTCTAAACTAAATTGTTTCTATTTTAAAATTAACCTCATTTATTAATGACTGAGAAAAGAGCCAAAATAGTCCCTTGACTATTTTCTAGGGGGCATTTAAGTCCCAAACTTTGAAAAAAAATGCCAAAATGATGCTCCAACTCTTTTAATAGGTGTTGAAATAACGGAAATTGATATTTAGGGTGTTAAAAATAGGTTTATTATTGATTTTTTTTCATTAAATATAATTCATTACAAATTTTTTTTTAATTCCATTGTGATGAAATTTATGAACTTTTATTTTTTGTGATAAGTTATTAAAATTTTAAATTTTTATATTGATTTTATTAATTTTTTCTTAAAGCTAAAATATATTTTTTTAGTTGTTACAAGATATGTATCATTGACGATTACTTGATTTTATAAATTTTAATTGACAATTTTTTTTAGAAAACAAAGCTGTTTTGTTGGTCATTATTCTATACTTATTATACAAATTCACATGCAAGATAGCATTATACATGCATGCAGATATGTGCTTACACACACGTACACACAAATATATATATATATATATATATATTATTATTATTATTTATTTTATTTTATTTTTGTTTAAGGCTAAAATTTATTTTTTACTTATGATGTAGGGTTATGCAGCTGGTAGTGCCATTCCAAGCCCACAAAAGAATGTTGAGAAAGAGTTTTTGAAGAAGTATTGGTCAAAATGGAAGGCAGATCACTTGGGTCGATGGTATGTTATGTTATTTTGCAAAATTCGAACTTATCGATTTGGGAAATGTCCATTTTTAGCCTTTGTAATATTTGAATAGTTAGTGCTTTGAGACATATCTATGTCTAACATCAACTGAAAGTCAATAAAATCAGGTATGGTAGCTTTAATAATTAAAAATATGGATGTTTTTATTAGCATTTGTATTTTCTTTTTCTGCTATCACTGCTTTGCAATACAATCAGTACTTAGTAGTGAAGTAAATCATGGCTTAGGAATTATCAAAACTTTCAAATCATAAAAAAAAAATAAAAAGAAAATCCCTAGAATCAATCAGCACACGAGTACTTTTGATGGAAATCTTCATGTCTCATATTGTCGAAGTATCACATCATATAATTTATATGAAGTTTGTTTATTTTCTTTTTAATAGTTTTTTTTATTAGCTCATTTAACCATTATTTGTGGTTTGGAGAGCTTGCTAATGTTGGTCAAGAAAGATTATAATGGCTGAGAATGTTTTTTCCTGGCTTTAGGATAGTATATTTGGTTGGCATGATTTTAATTTTGATTATATTTGGGTTGATACTTGTTAGGGGAGGCTATGGATGATGGTTGCGTTTTGTAAAAATTAATTTGTTTTCTTGCTTATCTTATCTGTTCCCAAATTTCTATTAAAGTTCTTGGCTTTTCACTATCATTTCATTATCAATAGGTCTGATTGCTCGCATTAAAGGAAAGTTATTGGCCTAAACGATAATTAGTAATTTATGAATTCTCACTTTTTATTTGCATGGAATTCCTAGCTCTGTGTTGTCTTGCATTTCGTCAGGCTCATTCTTCTATACATTGTTTGGGCAGTTATTTGTTATTTTCATAAAATTTTCGTTGCTGGTTTTGGTAACTACAATAGATTTGTCACATATTGATATTGAGCATCTCTTCTGCTCGATCATTTCGTTTCTTTAGAGGAACATTAGACCTCGAAATGGACAAATGAGTTTATATGGTGTTGAATTGGTTGCAGCAAAGAAGTGAGTACTTATGAGTAGATAGTTGGCCGATATGAACTTTCATGGTGCTTGCAAATATTTGTAGATTCGACTTATGTCACTAGAGCTACTACTACTAAAATTACATTCCATGTATTCAGTTTTAGTTCTACTCAAATGAAGGCCTTTAGACTCCAACGCAGATCTCCATAATTCAAGTTTTTCCTGAGCTTTTTCTCTCATCTTGTCCATGAGAAGGATATTATCAACCAAAAAGAAAACACCAAGGTACATCCTCCTGTAAATGTCCAGTAAGATGTATCCTCCTGTAAATGTCCAGTAAGATCATCCATAACTAAAGCAAAAAGATATGGGCTTAAAACAAATCCCTGATGTAATCCAACATAAATAGGAAAATATTTGGTCAATCCTCCTTCAGTTCAAACCGAAGTAACAGCTCTAGTACCAGCTCTAATTATTATTTAGAAAAAAAGTGGTTGGACATTAGGTCGATTGGATTGAGTTTATGTCAGACAAAATCTTGGTTAACTTTTTGGAGAACGCTATCCAAACTCAGTCTAGCCTACAAACTGGGTCAGATACTTTTCAGTGAAACATTTATACTCAGGTTAGCAGGTTAGTTTAGCTTGGTAGATGTGGTCAAAATTTTAAGATTGGCTAGTGCCATATTGGCTTACCAATGCCTATATTTCAAATTCTGTTAGTTCTTTGCCAACTTTATGAATCTGGTCAAAATATTACACATTTTTCTTCCCGCCTCTACCCATAAAGGTGTCTGCCATGTTGGATTGAATAACTGGTTTTCTTTTTATTTTGATTCATGAGAACTCTTCAAAAATAAATGCTGATTTATCTTTCCTCATGAGTAGTGGTTAATTTAATCTAATAATTTTTGTCTTTTGATTTGCTGTTTTTAGCCGGGCAATGCCTCATATAAAATCCTACACCCGACATAGCGCTCAAAATATTGCGTAAGATCAATCAATCTTATTCAATGGAGAAATGCTATTTCACTCACTCACCCCGACATCTTGGTCAAAACATTTTCAACACTAATTCTAAATTGTGGAAAAATATATGACGTTGACCCAACATCTCATAATATTAAGCCCACACACACACACACACACACACACACACACACACACACACACACACACACACACACATATATATATATATATATATAGTTTTCTAATGTTCATGTGTTGAAAATGTATTTGGCTTTGCGAGTGTAGGAAGCATTTCTCTCTCTCTCTCTCTCTCTCTCTCTCTCATGAAATATAAGTTTTCGTTTTCTTTTTTTTGTTATTTGACAGATGGTTTCTTCTAACATCAGCAAATTTAAGCAAAGCAGCATGGGGTGCACTGCAAAAGAATAACTCTCAACTTATGATTCGCTCCTATGAGGTTAGAATTTCTTCTCTTTATTTCGTTCTTTCTGAATGTTGATGGATCATTTTGTTTTGTGTTTGACCCCGAACTGCAAAAACAATACATGCTTTACAACTCATATTTTTAAAATTTTTAACTTAGATTCCATCTCTGATTTTAGACTTGAAGTTATTTAAATATGATTAGAAGAGGATGATTTAGTGCCATTGGTTGAAGTTTCTTGGATTTATAGAAGAATGGGAATGTGCAGAAGGATATAATTTATGAAGCGCGGATGCTTCAAAATATGTTTTGTTAGGAAAGGGCACAAGATTAACGAACTAGGCACACACTAAAAATAATGTTTTTTTTTAATTTTTTTCAAAATCAATTTTGGGCATGGCTAGTATGAGTGTCAACATAGATGATTTTTTTGTTGAGACTGAATGATTGATTGGCGTCTATGTCAATTACATTTGCAATGCATCAATGTTCTTATATGTTAAGTGATTATTTAAAAAATTATTTGCTCTTTCTTTATAAATAATACATCATTGATGCTGAAAAAAATCATCTTTAATGCTCTTGTAATCCCAAGGTGCTGTTGTAAATTGAATACACTTGGTGAAATATTGAAATATAGTTGTAACTGAACCAATGCTAATATCTCATTTGTTAATCCTTAAGCTTTTTTATGTAATACATATAATATTATACTTGATTTTTATTTATTAAAAATATTGATAAAATATATTTTAAGTGGACACTTTATATTAATGATTTATGCAAGAAGCATTCTATCTGTAGTGTCCTCTCCAGTTTCTTATGTTTATGTTTATGCCATATACTCTGAAACTAAAATAGCTCCATGTAAATAATCAGACATTTTACTAAAATATAACTCTTTTGCCATGTTCTATCTTCATTGAATTACAGTTTTGGTTGAGTTTTCTTTTGATCTTTGGCTCATTTCTTTTCAACAGTTGGGGGTGTTATTCTTGCCATCAGTTATAAACAGCAATCTTTCACAGTTTTCATGCACTGGTAATGCTGATATGAAGCAGGTTAGTTCACTACTCAAAAACCTAAATATAAATTAAAAAGCATTCAAAGTCTCACTATATATTTTCTTGAACAAAAATGACCAGATGGCTTCTGAGAACATCAGAACGAAGTTGGTGACTCGGTGCTGGAACGGTGAGTCGGATTCGTCATCCGAGATCATCGTCCGTCTGCCGGTTCCATATCGACTTCCGGCCCAGCCTTACTGTCCCGAAGGTCTCCTCCTTTTTTTCTATTATTTGAAATTATATATAACATAACGTGGAGTTATTTTTTGGTATTTTATTTTGCTTTCCAGATGTTCCTTGGTCATGGGATCGGCTACACGTTAAGAAAGACGTGTATGGTCGAGTTTGGCCTTGAATGTGGATCGAGTTCATCGGATGCAGTATAAAGTCATTAGTAAGTAATCAGTAGGTTTTTTAATTTAATTTGGCTAAATTATGGTTTATTTAAGTAGTTGTAGACTAAAAGCTAATTTTTTGAAAAGTATGGGTGCGTATTATAAATTTCTTCTTTTTTCTTTTAATAGTTATTTTCACAAACACAGCTTCTATTATGCTTTCGCTAACAACCACCTTTTCTACCATATAAAATTCAAAAAAAGGGGCATTTAGGTACATACCATACAATTTTTATGTATTTACATATCTGACCCCCAAACAGTCAAATATACCTGCATTTCACTCAAATCCTTGACATCACATAAAAACTATCATATATACTATCTTTTTAAAAGCGAAGTACAATTTTTGCATGCTTAAATTTATGACACCAAGTTGTTATAAGTGTAAATATCGAACTTTGGGTGTTGGATATGTAGATACATGAGAGTTCTGTGGGTATGTATGTAAATTTCTCAAAATGTTGTGCTAATTTGGCATTTGCAGATTTTCATGCAATGTTTGTATGTAATAAATAACACATTAATTTTCCAATTTCAGAACAGTTTTAAAAAGAGAATTAAATGCATTTATTTCCGCAGAAAATAAGTCCTTAAACAGTGAACTCTAAATTATTTAATAATTACTAATTCTTTTTAAAAGAAAATCTAAAACAAACTAGGTTTAACAGCCGGAGAAGAAATAAATGGAGTAATGAATCATGCCATAGTCAATAAGATTGCAACAATCATTCATCAAAATTTCACAATTAAGGAGACCCATAATTAGGGGTGTTAAAAAAGCTTAATAACCCGTGTTTTGGTTTGTTAAGTATGTTGTGTTCAAATTGTTTTTTAAATAAGCGAATTGAGGCGATGACAAATTTTTTAAACTTAAATTATAAATGAGTTGAACATGAACAACTATTTGATTGATCATGTTCAGTTTGTTTTTAGCTCGAAATAAAGAAATTATAGTTAGTGTTTATATAATAAATATATATTAGATCAAGGTTGTGTTTGACAAAATTGTATTTTGACTGGCTGTAGCATAAAAATGTATTTTATTTCTCTACCTGCTATGGCTGCTATGATCTACGGTTTGATTTTTTTCAATTTTTTTAGTAGCCAATGCTGATTTTTGAATAACATATTTTCCTTTGCAGCCTCACAGTTGATTCTTTAAACAACTGCAGTTGCCCCAAACAGATCCTAAATCACTACAACTCATGCTTTTTGAGTAGTGATATACCCTTTCTGTCGCAATGGAAGGGTGAAGCCTTGAAACACTTGCCTTATAAGTTCTAATTAATTTTGTTGGTGCTAGTTAAATAGAGTCGAATATGTGCTAATTCAAACAAAATGTTCAATATCAAATTGAACAAGAATGAACTTCTTGCGAGCTTGATTCAAACACGAGCCAATTTCGATTACGAGCTAACACAAACTACTCTAGCACGAATAGAGCTTTAGCTCGCTCAAACTCGGGCTCATTTACACCACCTGCCTATAATCAAGTTGTATTTTCATGTCATCTGCATTTAAAAAATAATGATGATAGACAATGATAATTAATGTAAATCTCTTTGTTTTAATGAGAGTAATCTAAATATCATCAATAATTCATAAATTAGACTAATAATAATAATAATTTTGAAAAGATTTCAATTCAAATTATCAGAGGTAAGAAAATGAAAACAAAATTGTCTTTAAGAAATACTTTTTCTTCATCATAGCTAGGGGTGAGCATTCTGTCGGTATCTATTTTAAAATTGGTCAAACCAATTATAGCTGAAATTCATAATCCAGAAAATCAAATCAATCTAAATTTAGATAAAAGCAAACCGACTAAACTGAAATTTAATTTGGTTTAAACAGTTCGATTATAAAAAATCAAAATTTAATTGTGTATTGAAATTTAATTTAAAAAAATATTATAAATCATATATCTTATTCACATAATGTCTATTTGATTTTATGAATATTCTATTTATTTCAATCAAATATTACATATAATAGTTTTTTTTTTATTTTTTTTTAGTTTGTTACACATGAAATTAAAATTTAATAATATTTTTTAATAAATATTGGGTTTTTTTGGTTTTTTAAGTTTGTTAAATGAAAATTAAAACATAACCAGAAACAAAAAAAATCAAATATTGAAGTTTTAAAAACAAAAAAAAAATTGAAATCCAATTTTTAAATCGAATCAAACCAATCAAACTTGGTAAGTTCAGTTTGGTTTTTGGTTTTGACCAGATAATGCACACCCTTAATGGCAGCAACCTAATAACACAAATGTCTTGTAGTGTGGTCTGTAATGGTCGTAATGACCATTAGACCACACAGACAATATCTCCATGAAATGTGATTTTTTTTTTAATTTGTTTTGGGTGTAGGGTTTAGGTCTCGCTCAAACTCGGCTCGTATAAATTAACTATGTTTGAAAATGACTTATGTTCAAAATTGCTTGTAAAAAGTGTGCTCTTGTTTGATTCAAAATTGACTCGTTTAAATTAATTACAAAAATAGATGTTGAATGTCAGATTTGAACCAACAACAATCTTTTAACGAAAAAAAAAACACAAAATGACTCGACCACACAAGCTAAAACAAGTTGAATAATATGATCAAGCAATGGATTGTTCGTGTTCGGCTCGCTTAACGAACCATTCTAACACCAACTATTTAACGAGCCGAAGCTGAGTTGTTCATGAACAATGAGATTTTTTGACCGCCCTAAATACAAGAAGTCTAAGAATTGAGAATGTTCAAAACTGTGTGATTTTCGTATCATTTGATATCAAATAATGTTTCTGAAATTGGTGTTCTACATATTTTCGACATTATCTTATTGCATGACTATCATATATACTTCCTCATTACAAATAAATTTCACATCCTCACAATTTCTATAATGAAAAAAAAAAAAAAATTTCTTATAAATTCAATAAGGTTTTTCTTAATGGCATATTTCTCAGAGTTTATTTTAAATTGTATTTAATATAATTTAAGCTATATTAATAATTATTAAATTGGTAATTTTTTAATACAATATTTAATTCTCAATTTAATATTCTATTTTTTTTTAGATATAGGAAAATAAGATATCAAAGAGGAGGGATGGCAGATTAATTAATGCTTTGACCAATTGTAATTAACTAAAAAAAAACATAATAATGATATTTAAATATTATGGGTTTAAATGTCATTTTCATAAATTCCTATTAGAAAATTAATACAAAAAGCTTAATTACATGTTTAGTGAGTCAACTTTATGAATATTAGAATTAGTGGTTGGTGTTTATTCGAATAAATTAAATAAAAAAAATAAATCAAAATTATCTAAATAGTTTTCCTCATTCAAACTTTGATTCATTAAAATTACGAAATCATACTACATTTTATTAAAATTAAAAAAATATCAATATATTATTAAGCTATGGATCCAGTCTAATTAATACCTTGTCAACACATATATATATATAGATATAGATATATATATATATATATATATGGAATGGCACGAATTTTGAAAGTTTCACGTATAGGCATTTACATACAGACCACATAATTTTCATCTATTTACATATTTAACATCAAAAGTAAAATACACTTTTACATGCATAAGTTTATGACATCAAACTATTATATATAAATATAAATATCAAATTAGCTTGATATATAAATACACAAGAATTGTGTGGTATATATGTAATTTTTTTAACAGAAAAAATGAATAGAGCAGATATGGCTATTCTCCAGTAAAATTTCATCATCATCATACTGAAATTAGGGCTGTAAATGAGCCGAGCTTGAGCGAGCTCAGGCTTGGCTTGTGTTTGAAATCGGCTCGTGAACAGTGTATTCGTGTTTGGCTCGATTTAAATATTCGTGTTTGTGTTCAACTCGTATTCGGCTTGAAAATGGCTCGTTAAAATTAAATTGAAAAAAATAGATGCAGAGTGCTGGATTTGAACCTGGACCAAACGAATGCAAAAGAAAACACTAACCACATTACCACACAAGGTGTTACGATTTAAGTTTAGATATGTGTATATAATATATTATTCTATAGATAATTTATGTAATATATTATTATATAAATAATTATATAATTTTTTTTTTATTTCGAGCTAAAATGAGCCGAACACGAGCGAAAAAAGAGTTGTTCGTGTTCGGCTCGTTTACTTAACGAACGAGCTGAACACAAGTTATTCACAAACAAGGAGTTTTTTTGACAGCCCTAACTGAAATTTGAAGCTTCAGAAAGACAAAATAGTCATCACTCGAGCAAATTTGTAAAATAAACTTTTTTTATTTTCTGAAAAAACATTTTCTATATTTATTTTTCTATTTAAGTAAGCATTCTGTTATCATTTATCTTTTACAAGGAAAATCAAAATAACAAATTAGTACTTACATGACTTGATGCAGAATGTGGAGGAAGCAATTTTACAGCATAGTGGGGAATAAAATATACAATAAACATATACATTTTAGTCCATAACTTGCCTTTAATTAGTTCTCTGGCCACCTCAAAGCTGCTGATCAGTAAGAGAGAGACATGAATAAGAAGACCTCATCACTGTAAGAAAAAATTGCATTTTTGTTTAACTCCTCCAAGGTTTAATCATTGAGAGAGTAATGATAATTGTAGTCATCAGACACAAAATTATTGCAATGAAAATGAATTTTCTTGATTTGTTTTGCAAGCCCTGTGCATTTTGAAGGGATTCTTTGAAGGGATTCTGTGCCTTTTCTGTACATGGTTCACTGCATTTGCAACCTGAAAATGTAGTTTCAATTTGTTAAATAACATTTGTTTTTGTAAAAAAAAAAAATTCTTAGTTCAGTATTGCAGTCTAATTGCAGAGATTCAGCAAAATCAAACCTGAGTTTCAATATTATCCAACATCTCTCCTTGTGCTTCAACCAGCACTGACATGTCCATGAAAATCTGGCAGCACAAACATTACCATAAGAACAATAAGTTTATGCAACAAATCTTTGAAAGTAGGTATGTTTGTAAAAATAAAAAATAAAAAAATAAAATAAAATTCAAGCATGTACTTGATGCAATTCATGCAACTTCCGTTCAATCTCCTTCACTGCATCATGCCTCTCTTGATTTTCTTCCATTACATCAATCACCTATAATCATGTTTTCTCATCAACAGCACATTTTACCCAGCATTTTTGTAAGAGGAATTAACATAAATAAGACACAATTCTTATGTATTTCCATATCACACATCTAAATTTTCATATTTACAGACATAACATTCAAATCCTTAATATCGCATAAGCAATAGTGCTGTTATAACTTTTTCAAAGTGAAATGCATCTTTTCCAAAGAGCTATGTATGTAAATGTTGAAATTTAGGCGCGTGATATGTAAATACATAGAAGTTGTGTGCTAATTATATAACTTTTCCCTTTATAATCAAATTCAGTTTGGATCAAAACCTGCCCTCTTCCAACTTCTCGAGTCGCCTTCCTAAATATTTTTTCGCCCTCTCCGGTCTCAATCAGCTCATCGATCATCTATACATGTTTCAAAAATCATAAACACATGATACGAAAGCTTTTCGTTGACTACATATGTTAATAACATATTACAATACTCACTTCTTCAGTTGGTGCAGTTCCTGTGACTGTTAAATGCAAAATTTGCAAAGAAAAAGATAAAAAATTTAATTGTTTTGCAAATAAAAGATATATATTTCATATGTGAGATCTGCACCTCTGAAAAACCTCCTCTGTACAATTTCTCTGTACTCCTCTTGTATACTTAGCCTCAGATTCTGTCATGTGTTCTCAACATTTCAGTAACTAATTTTTGCATGAATTATAAAGTCATATTTACTTAAATACCTGAAAATCAGTCACTTTATCCCTCAATCTCTTCTTCAATGAACTGAAATAAATGGAATTCAAGGCTGATTACAAACACCAAAAAAAAAAAAGCAATCTTTCAGAGCTAAATAAGTCAAACTTACACCGTCATGGCTGTTCTTGATCTGTCAACAGCAGTCCCCTTCTCACAACCAGGATTCTTCCTGTTCTCCAAGTTCTAAAAAGCATAATAAATATGATAAAAATAATATAAAACGACCACACTCATCAAAAACAAAATGAACTAATATTATTATTTACATCTAAATCAATTTCTTCTAATTTCATTTTGATTGCGCGAGCGGTGATTCCCACTTCATCCATGTCCTTATCCATTCTTTGCTTAAAATCTGGAAGCAATCCAAATTTATGACTTGTCTTGATTAAAATGCTCGAATGATCGGCTTTTTGTATGTTGTCATTATTTGCCGTGTTCTTAGTAACAGCCTTGATCTCCTCATTGTCTTCCTGAAATTTTTTTTGCAGTTTAATGAACTTCATTATAATCTTTCCATAAGATGTATGAGATGAAGATAGATTGTTTTTTTTGTTTTTTTGTTTCTTTGTAGAAAACTTATGGATGATGGATTTTGGTACTTTGTAATTAGAATACCTGAAGCTTTTTGAGGTTGCTGGAGAGCTTTATCATGAGATCCTCCACTTTTTTTATCTGTTTTGATGCAGAAAAAGATTCAGAACATGCAAGGAAGGAGTTAGTGAGAAATAATATTTATTTACAGAAATACCTTTCCGAAAAATTCATCCATTCCATAATCTGTTATTAAATTTTGCCTTGGAAATCCTAACTCTATGTCTCTTTCTCTTGGAGATCTGTCTGGCACCTGTATTCTGGAAAGAAAAGAGCTCTGCAAGTTGAAGAAGATCTGAAGGTTAGGACTGCAAAAATTTACTGAGAAGAAGCAAAATTCAAGTAAAAAAGAAAAAAAAAGGCCATTTTTCAGTTCGGTAACTTCATTTTTCACAAATACGTTTTATTTCCTTTCTGTCACATTGCATTATTTCTTGTTAAAACTTCTATTTTTACTTTATCAAACTGTTTAGAGATTATTAAAATACAAATCATAATAGCTTGGATGAACCAGGGAAGCATCATGAACAATCATATTGTTCCAAACAAGAAACATGCAAAAAAAAAAAAATGAAAATAAAAAAAAAATGAAAGAACATACCCTTAGAAGATCGTTCATTTTCAGAACTTCGAGAATTTGAAGGTGGAAGGGAAGAAGATTAAGAAAAAAAATTCAATTTTTGAATGTTCTAAAAGACTGTTACATGAGAAATGAAAGGGAGAGGGAAGAAGGAAGATTGGGCTGCAGATTAAACAACTTATTAGAGAAGAGTAGGAAGGATGAGTAAAGAAAATGACAGCAGAAATGAACAAAAATATGTCAAGATCGCGTTATGAATTATGCATGTTGAAAGAGAGATTTTTCCGGCGACCATATCCAGCTTTTATGTTTTTAAACCGTCAAAAGATTTATCTTTACACATGGTATGTGTTGAATAGGTATTTGTGTGTGAATCACACTTCAAGGGATAGATTGTTAGAGAAGAGCGGGCGAAAGAGAGTGAACAGTAGATTGTATGGATCGTGTTGATCTTTCCAGACCTTTTTGGCTATAATCTGAGTGTATTTGCACTATCTTGTATATGAAATGATCTCTCTATTTATAGGGGGAGAGAATATAATATGGTGACATTACTTTTTTGCCCAACCTTTAATTGGGGATATACACGGTATTCTAGATATTTTATAGGTATGAATTTATCGCTCGACTACTCTCTGGCTCGTTCAACTGAGCTTGCATAACTTCGGCTCGACCGGTCAATCTGCTGAGTTAGTCTAGATGTCGATGCTTGATAGTAGAAGGGGGAGCTTTTGGACATCCCATGTATGATTGGGAAAGCTGAGGGGCTAGATTTTACCCCGAGTCTGCTTCTTCGTGCGGTATTGCTTGGATGTCTCGTTTTTGATCAAATGACTCGGATTAGAATCATTCATCCATCTTTCTTGACTCGATGTGTTTTCGTCTTGCTTGCTTTGACTCAGACGGTTGCATCCGATCAGATAAGCGGACCTTCTGCTCTTCCGTCAGTGGGGCCATCCTTTGCCGCATACTCGCACTCTCCTTCTTTAGACCTTTAGATCTACTCAGGGTCAGCGCCGACACATTTCGATATACAATCTGCTCTATGTAAATATCTCTTAATCTATTTTTAAAACTTAGAAGAAGATTTACCTATACATACCAATTAATTTTTATATATTTAATCATCTAAAACTTCAACTTTTACAAACATACCACTTTATCTACACATGAAAGGTGTAATCATCTCGTTGAATGAAGACAAATTTCAGGGGAAAATTCAGCTGAAAAAAAACAAATTTGTTGGCTTACATCCTCCATCCTACTGGAAATTTAATTGTTAGAAATGCAATATTTTTTATTTTCTCTACATAAAATTGATATTTTACATTTATCCCCCATATAACCATTATTTCATCTAAATTTCTGAATAAATAAGATTGAAAACAGCTCAAAATTAAAAATACTATTTTTGTTTCTCAATCTCAGTCATTAAAAAGCTTGAATAAAAAATGGAAAGACATATGAGGCGAGGGTCTAATCCTCTTAGATATGAAAAGATATTACATCAGGACTCCGCATGCAGAGTTACGTGCGGTGTCCAATGAAATTACGTCACGGAAAAAAGAAAAAAAAAATCTGTCCGGTAACACAAGAGAATATTCCTCCGTTATTATTCAGGTGTTATTGTGTATTATCCAAGTATTATTAATCTATTATTCATATATTATTGATGTGTTATTGTGTTATTATAACACCGAAATATTCTCAGAACACAATAACACCTAAATAACACGGAATAACATGAGGGAAATATTTATTGTGTTACCGGGATGAACACCTCCACGACATAATTTCATTGGACTCCGCACGTTACGTAACGTGCGGAGCACTTATGTAATATTTTTTTCCTTAGATATGGACCACATTTGATGCAATTTTAAAATGTTATATGTTATAATTGCAAAAATACTATTTTTAGCTGATAATCCTTCTGTAAATAACTTGCATTCATTGCAGCTTTCTTGGCTTATAAGATAAATAAAATATTATAGAAAAGGTCAAATATGTAATAAATTAATGAATTGAGTGATTCTTTGGTCAATTTAAAAATGTGTGGTGATAGTTTAGTAAATTAATTAATTGGGCACGTAAGATATGTTGCAGGCCGTGCAATGAATCAAGAAGCAATTGCTTTTTAACATATACAGCCAGCTTATAGGACAGGTTTATTTGGGAGATTTACATACATACCACCTAATTCTTATGTATTTACATATCTAACACCTAGATTTTATTTTTTACACTTATGTCAGAAGCTATATTTCATCATATGCTTATGAAATATTTCGAGGGCATAAATGTAAAAATGCAAGATTTAGGATTGGCTGGTATGTATGCCGTTTTCTATTTTTTGCAATTTTTATCCATGCGGGAAACTTCTTATTTATTACAAATTGCAGGTACATAAATTACCATAAGTGTTTTAATTTTCTCTCTCACATAATAATGACCGTGTCCACAAATAAATTATATATATATATATATATATTGATATTGATATATTATATATATATATATGTATGTATATATATATGTATAATATTTTATCCATTTATGTTTTGATTTTGAGAGATCATTATAAAATATATCATTTAAAGTTTAATAGGTGTAGGATGGAAAATAGATTAATTGATGACAAAGCAATGTTATTTATGTAAAAAATATTTAATGAATTTGGATTTATTATTATATATTATGTGGTGCGTGATATTCAAAAAATTAGGGGTGTAAGAAATTGAGTCGGTATGCGAACATGACTCGAAGATTTCGGGTTAGGGTTGATGGGAATATTTTTTGAGTCTGGTTTGGGTTAGAGAATTTAACCGGTTTATTATTTGGGTCGGGTTCAGGTTAGCAGGTTAAACTCAGGTTCGGGCTGACCTTATTCAGGTCGGGCTATTAAGATATCCTATCATCCAGATGTCACTCAACTTGCACATTATTTTCCCTTATATTGCCATGTGAAATACATCTTTTAACTATAGTGATGTATCATTAATTTCTTATATTCTATCAAAATTATTAAAGACGTTAACAATTCAAATTTCATATTTAATCATTTTGTCATCATGGATCAGTTCAACATGACTCCAAGGTTTAGAAAAGGTCATATGTTGTTATGCACAGTCATGTAATTTGAATTTTCAACAAACCAATTGTTGTCATATAATCGAGCCACATGCAAATTGGTTTCTTATAAAGGTAGATATTGCTCCTAGGATCATCTAACATCATAATCAAACAATTTGAGATCCATCAAACCGTCGGATCAATATGAGGCAACATGACGGCCCAAGAATCATCTTGTTTTTCATCCCCATTAAGCCAAATCTTTCACAAGATTTGTCGATACTAGTAATTTCAAATACGCCTACGAAAATCTTTACTCCAATCATTGATGTTGACTTGAATTATTCTTAAGGTTTGTCCCATCAATCATCGAGTATAGAGTGATGAGCGTGCTACACTTTTCTAACATGTAAACTGTGATCATCATGCCCCCAAAAAATATTGTATAATATCTTTTCTTTTTATTTTTTTATTAGTGAGCTTCGAGCATAAGAAATTTTTGTGTTGGAGGAAAAGCCCCATCATCGGACCATCATCTCATCACCAATGTACTCCAATGTGTCTATTTATGGAAAAAACCCCCAGGTGTCTGGATCCGCTTCTCTACTCCAATGAGGGGGTGCCACGTAGGCAATGGTCCTACCGTGTTGCCTACGTGGCAAGTACTGATGCATCAGTACTCCTGAGATAATATTTTTTCCTATTTATGTACTTACCAAGCTAAAAATGTTTAATTTACACAAGTTTTTATGATTTTGTAAAATATTTAGAACATGAAACAAATATTATTACTTGGTATTCAAAAAGTAGCTCCTTTGTTTTTATAATGCTGATTGTTCCGGTTCAAATTTAGGGGCCGTAGAATGTTTGCGGCTTCTGCAAAAATCTCTTCTTTTCCCTCCCTTATCTGTACTTACCTCCTTCGATCTATCAACCGATCTCTCTTTCCTCCTCTCCCGCTCCGTAGTCTCTCCGACGGCCGCTCCATCCGCACAATCCGCCATGAAATACCTGCACCCAACTCGACTCGCTCCCTCAACCTCGCCCTCATTTCCCTTTCCAACTCCCGCCAATTCGACTCAGCTGTAGCCCTCTATTTCTCTGCGCGCTGCTCGAGCATCTCTCCCGACTTCACCACTCTCAACATTATCATCAACTGTTGCTCGGAGACAGGCCGCTCGAATCTCGCACTTCAGCTGTTTGACGATATTACTCAACGAGGATACACTGCCAACGTTGTCACATTCACGACTTTGATCAAAGCCCTCTGCAGAGAAGGTAAGATCTCTAAAGCTTTCGAAATATTGGAGCAGATGAAGGCGAATGGACCGAGCCCCAACAGCTTTACATATGGAGTGCTTATCGGCTCTGTGTGTGGCCGCTTGGATTACGAGAAAGCTCTTGTTTTGATTCGTGAAATGTTGGGATTTGGATTGGAGCCAAGCGAGTTTAGTTATAACCTTGTTCTGAGTGGTTTGTGCAAGAAAGGTATGATCTTGGCTGCTGAAATGCTTTATGGGAGGATGATTAGAGTGGGAATTAAGGGGAATTTAGTTTCTTATACCAGCTTTATTGATGGTTTTTGTAGAGAGAGGAAGCTGGTCGAAGCTAAGAAGATGTTCTCTGAGATGCAAAAGAATGGTGTTCACCTGGATATTTTGACATATAACTCTTTAATTCATGGTTACTGTGATAATGGGCAGTTAGAAGATGGTATGGAAATGTTAACATACATGGCTTCCTCTGGTCTTCGCCCCAATGTTAACACATTCACTATAATAATTAACGGACTTTGCAAAAAGGGTAGAATGGATGAGGCTCTCAGAGTTTTAGATTTAATGATTCAAGAAGATGTAAATCCTGATAAGTTCATTTATAGTATTTTGGTTGATAGTTTATGTAAAGAAGGGAGATTGGAGGATGCTCTTCAGCTTATTCATCGGACTGAGGAGAGTGGGTTAGAAAATGATGTTGTTGCTTACAATTGTTTAATTGATGGGTATTGTAAAATGGGGGATATGGAGGGCGCCAAAAGAATTTTTGATGGAATCATGAAGAAAGGGCTTCAGCCTAGTGTTATTACATATAATGCATTTATGGATGGATTCTGCAAAATTGGGAAAAGTGAGGTTGCAGAAGCATTGTTATTGGATATGGAGAAGAGTGGGATTTCGCCAGATGTGATTACTTATACTACATTGATTTGCGGACTTTGCAAAGAAGGAAATTTTGATAAAGCTGCTTCTTTTGTGGATGAAATGGTTTCCAAGGGACAAATTCCTGATGCTGTCACCTACAAAATTGTTTTGGATGGGATTGCTAGAAAATGCACGATTGATTGCGCTGAAAACTTTGAGCATTTTTCAAGCGAACTGAGAAAGAAAGCAAAATCATGACATTAAACATGTAATGGCCATTGAAGCATTGCATAAGGGCGGGGGTTCCCTTAAACACTGAACTTTTTGGTAATTTATATTTGTGAATCAATACGAGTCTTAAGAATCAATCAGTATGTACCGTGAATGAGCTTTCAACTGAAGTTTCTCCAAAAATTATTTTGACCAGGCTAAAGTTGCAATTGCGTGGAAGAGGATACATAATTCAGAGTTGTTTTAAATTTTTTTTGCAGAATTGGCCCCAAGCTTGTGTCAAATACATTGAGTTCAGAAATAACTAAACAGGTCTGTAATGCAGCTGTATGTAATTAAATATCGTTTAATTATGAGATCCATCGTTTTTCCTTTCTTTATTATTTTTTTCTTAATTGTGCTTCTTTCTTTGACAGTTTAAAAGCTGCTGAACTTCCTTCTTTTACAAGTACTGCTGATCATTCAGATGTAGGAGAAAGAACCTTCAAAGCTTTAGACATACAAAAAACTGGTCCTGATTGAACTGCTAGCTTCAAGCAAAGGTAGACTTATTGTATGATATTTGCGCAAATCAGTACCTTTTTTTATGATCTTATTTTATTCAATGTTTTTAAAGGTGAGCTTCACGTGGGCACCCGCTTCTCACGCTTTGAAGAACCGAAACAAAGCGGTCGGTCAGGTTCGCAGTTTAGCTAGAGAGAATAAAGGTCCACTGAATTCATTTAGCTTATTTTGTGAAATTTGAGACTTTATTAGTTTATTTATGCTGTAAAATTTTGATTTTGTTTTCATTTTTAAGATTTCCTTTTGTAATTTTAAGTTCTTAATTGTTGCAGGAAACTATTAGAAATGTTTGAAATTTTAATTTGTAGCTTCAACCTCTATGTTATCTTCAACTAAGGTATTGTTCCACATTCTTTTCTATTTTATTTCAACTTTTAAATCATACTTTATATTTTATAATTATTAATGAAGGTATTTAAATATTAATAGTTTTAGGTAACCTATTTGTGTTTTAGTTAATAAAAGCATCATTTCGTTCCACGCTTTATGCTTTGAAGTAAAAATAAAGCTTTGTGCGTCGCATTACGCTTTGTGCGTCGCATTACGTTTTGTGCGTCGCATTACGCTTTGTGCTTTGATACCACTGATTTTAGTTATTCAAATTACAAGTCTTTTCATGCTTGCCACTAAGATTTTTTGATTGTTGGCTTAGTTCTTTGCTCGAAATTAATCAATGATTTTCCCAAAGTAGTTAATGGAGAGTTAAAGCATGGAGAAGAGTAGGGGGCAGCTAAGCATGGGAGAAAGGAAATATTGCGCTGAATTGACTTGGAATGCCCAATAACCTAAAAGAAATCAATGTCTATCTTGAATTAAGACCTATAATGACTTAAATATTTCAAAAGGACACCAAGCTGAACTTGATATTATAGAGTTTAGCTCAACTTAAAGTAACTTGAAATTGATTTAATTTTGGCCCGAGTCCAATTGACTCGACATAACTCAATCTTTGTTTTGCTTGAAATTGTTTTCAAGTTTTCTTAAAATGTTAGAAGATATTAAATTTGAGGGAGGGATTAAGCTTTGGTTCTCTTGCATGAGATACACGCCAAATGGACCAACAATTACTTTTTATTTGTATCATATAAACTGTATGTAATATACAATAAATTTAAGCCAAATTGAATCAAATCTTGAGCTAGCCATAGCAGACTTAAAATTGGCTAAAAATAGATTTTGAGTGAAGTATCCTAGCTTGTAACTAAAATTTGTTCTAGTTAATTTCGACTAAACCTTGTTTGGGATTACTTTTGCTTTTTTTATTATTTTTTTATTTTTTACTTTTATTTTAAAAACATATTTGTTTAGTGTATTTTTTGTTTATATTTTTTAAAATAATTTAAACTATTTTTAAAAATAACTAAACATGCTATATTATATAAAACATGCTTTATTTCAAATCAAATTAAAGATTGAGCTATCCTCGAGTTTGGGTATTTTTATCACAATTGGCACAAAATTAAGACTCGAAATAAGCTCAAAATTTATCAATAAAAACTCAAAAAAGATGGCAATGGAACTATATCTTTTTTCGGAAGGAACGTTTGTTCGTCAAAGTGCAAATTAGATGTAGGAGGGATTTGTTCTCAGGACCTCAACGATAAATTTCAAAATTTTCACCAAGTTAACTAATGCCCACACCCTAACTCCCCGCAAACATAACTAACCTCTCAAGACAAATAATTTCACAATTCTAACACAACGAGCCCAAGGTACACATGATCTTGACCGATATCATTAGACATGTTGATATCACCGAGCACAATGAAGATTTCTAACATCTAAACTCTTCACATCATATAGTAGCTGTCATATCATCACATTAGTGATTCCTAACATGGGGGTTTATTTAATTATTCAATGTGATATTTCTTTATGATATGCTTAACCAAGATTTGGGTTGATCGAGTAGCATCATATATCTCAAATGAAGTTTCAAAATAGTCCCTTTATTGTTTACACGAGACCATTTTAGTCTCGGAGTCCATAGAAGCGTCAAATTTGTTCTTAGTCTCTTTACATTGGAGCTAAATTAGTTTTCCTTAAAGATTATTTTGGCCCATATTAATTGAGTCTAAGGACTAAATTGATACTTGTATAGACTCTGATTAAAATGACTGCAAAGAGTTAATGGATTATTTTGATATTTTCTTCATTTAAGTCAACCTTGCAAGAAGAGAATTCTAGCAATTTTGCAAAGAAAGATGAAATATTTGCACTTTTAATGTCTCCCTTTATTTACAATTCGAAATGAAAAGGCGTCTGCTAATGTTTTGCTTCATTAATTAATGCCTGTGCTAATAGTTCAATGCTGCTGTTTAGGCCATGAGATGCAGGCCATTGTATAGTGAAATCAGAGTTGTATGCTAATGTGTTTATGCAAATTTACCATTTTTTTTTATCAATATAAACTTTAAATTTATGAACATTATCTGACATGAATTTAACACAATCGTTTTGTGTTATTGTAGCTCTCTTATCAGGCATTGGCGATTCCAGACATCCAAGCTTCAAGTTACTTCAATCATATTATCCTTAATGTATATTTTATGTTATTCTGAACATTTGAATGTTTTTTTATCAAAGAAATAGAAAAAAAAGAAAACTTGTGCCCAGTGAAGGTATTTCATACTTTCCTTCCATTTTTTTTAATGATTTTTTATTTTTTTTTGTTTATAACCCTGCTATTATCTGGTCCCATGCCCCGGATGCGAAAAGCAGAGGGTTGTGTTAGCTAGTCGATAGCTAGCTTTAGTTTTTTGTCAAAAAAATCATGGCATGAATCCTTTAAATCATTGTGCAAATGCTAGGGCATCCCATGACTCAATCGGACGAAATTAAAATGATTATGTAGGCGACCCCACTTAGTCAGATAATGGCTTGTTGTTGTTATTAAATGATTTTTTGCTTATATAGTTGGGCTTTTGCTTAATGTTGAATATGAATTTGAGTTGATTTTATTTGAATGCATGCATTCTCATAGCATCACATGCATAAGTATGATAATAAACTGGTGTACAGAGACGTTATAGTCTTGGTTATTAATGCTTTTTATATTGGAAGATTTTCATGCAGACTGCTTAATTCCTATGCATTTACATATGTCCAACACCTTAAATTCTTACATACATGCAATCTTACCTATGCATGAAAAGATTTATTTCCCTTTTTACAAGTTAAATAGTGATATTTTTTATGTGATATAAGAAAATCGGGCGGCATTGATGTAAAAAAGTAAAGCTTGGGGGTTAGATATGTAAAAAAGTAAAGCTTGGGGGTTAGATATGTAGATACATCGGAATTGGCTGGTATGTATGTAAATGCTCGTTTCATATAATTATATTTTAGTGAACACTTAAGCATTTGGAATGGTTGCTTTGAACTAGTACATCAACTATGTAGCTCCTCACTGATGCACATTATTCAATAAAAAAATGTAATAAATACAAGTTACCAAATATACTAGATTGGTTTTCTCATAGATAAATCATTTTGAAATCTTTTGAAAAAATGAAACTTGAGAACCATTTTATAATATTGCAGTTTGTATATTGCATATGTGATGTGTTTGTTTGTTCAAAATATCAAAAAATTTTAAAAAAGGGTTGAAATTTACATATATACACATAGTTCTTATGTGTTTATATATCTCACACCTAAATTTTTATATTTATATGTTGTATTGCATTTGCTTTGATTTTGTATTTTGTTAATGCATGATATATGTATGTATGTATGTATGCCATGTGATACAACATTTCAATATTATTTCTCTTACTGTTGCTGATAATTCATGACATCATGCCATGTGACCTTCACATTAAAATCTCTCAAGACCTTCAGATGGTTAAATAGCTCTAAGGATAATGATGTATGTTTTTGTTATTTGTATGATTTTTAGCACTAATTGTTTGGTTATGAGAGGTGATTATAATCTAAAATTAAGATTTACTTGAGCCAGGTTGTAATTTATATGCGTTGAATTCTTTTAGGACTTAAGGTCTCGTATCGTTCAACAGTACATACAATTCTGTAAAGATCCAGCTTTATAGAGAAAAAATAGAAGAGAGAGATGGATGTAAGATCTGGGAGGTGGTCAGAGAGATTGTATATCAAGCTTTAGCCTTTGATAAGCCAGAAAAATATGGCTCTTCGGAAATTTTTCGAACTATAGGATTTCTTATATATATATATAGAGAGAGAGAGAGAGAGAGGTCCCAAAACAAAGGATGTCCTGGGTTCCTCTCTTCCCTCTTAGCTTAGCTTCTCTTTTATAGAAAAAGAGAAAATATTACGAAATACATTTAGTACTGCAGGACTCCCATCCATGATGTCTTGATGAAAATATCTTCTTGGATGTCTAAGGACGCTTTTAAAGATGAATTGACTTGCAAATTTGTGTCTTTGCTGGTAATGATGATCATCTCTAGTGGTTGTCTAGATCTAGGTTGGCTAGACTGTCCCAGTGGGTGGAAGAGATGAATTCAGCTACTTTGGTAGATGCGTCGCAGTCGTATTTATGTATACAATATTGTTAACATTTTGTGTGTGTGTGTGTGTGTGTGTGTTTGTGTCTATATATATTGTTGTTCCAAAAGGGTTCTCCGGAGATTGGCCAAGAAAATCTCCATATGCATTAAATATCATTTCCCTACCATTTTTACCTTCATAAATCAACAATTTATCATGTATTTCTACCCACACGATCAATCTCATTATAACCCCAACATTATTAGATTAACTAAAGTTCAATGTGACAGGTTATTATTTAACCCTTCTCTTGCTTAATTAATGGTTTGTTAAATTTGGGCTCAACTCAATTAACTTTGATCATCATCATTTGTCTTTAATTAACTTTAGTAAACTCTAGTTATTCTTTATTGATCTCATCAACTTTGTCAACCTTTTTTGCTTAAGTAGATACATTGCGACTTCCACCAACCTTAGTTGTGTGCTGGTTAAGTTCTATGTAAACTTAAACCAATAAAAAAAATTCATTTTCATTGCCTTGATTTACTTACTCATAATGGGCCTCATATTAATTCTTAAGCCTTAATGATGTGAGACTAGAACCCCATATTAAAACTTGATAATTTTTTTATTACCAAAATGCTGCAATTCTAACTTATTGAATAAAAGTTTCTTAAAAAATAAAAATATAAACCATATAACACTATACATTGTTAGGCCCACTTCACCTAATGGCAAATCATATGCATTTTCAATGTCATTTTTTTAATAAAAATTTGCCTCAAATTACCACCTCATTAAAATAATCCACAAATGAGCTGAAACTACTATGTATCTTACAACATAGGGTAAAACTACTCTTCTCAATTTAGTCCCTCATCACCCCTACGATATGATCAACACATTCAGAGAGTCATAAAGACTTGCCGATTTAAAAATTATCATTCATGGCCAATCTAGTAAGGCTCTAAACCTTTATATGTGGTCACAATAATCAAATTAAGTAGAAAACCTGACCCGTAAATGTTGCTTTTCAAAGTAATATGTGGCCATTCCCAATGATTTATTTTACCAACTTGGGACTCACATTACCAAATATTATATCTCCAATAAGTCATCTAATTAATATATAATTTATCTTCAATAAAACCCCCAAAAAACTACAAAAAATAGCTCAATGAACTATATTATTTACTCTAAAAAAATTCAATCAAAATATATATTATCCTTAATAATTCACCAAATTCACATAGATTTCATCTATAATGGAAAGCCTATGTGGTTTATAACCCAAAAAAAAGGCTCATAGCCCAAATTTAGGCAACTTATAAGCTGTCTCCCAAAGTTCAAATTCAACTCAAGCCTAAAAAAATGGCAATATCAACAAATCAAGCTTAAAATTTTATGATAATAAGGGCATGACAAGCTCACTTATTTGATGTTAGTTTGATGATATAATATAATTATATTACAATTGCAATCAAAACATGTATGTTCATTAGAGTTGTACATTTGAGCTTGTGATTTTTCTTGATATATTTAACAAATAAAGTCCTCTATTTGCTTGAGTTAATCTAAAATTTGCCACTTGATCAATGCTTATTTCTTCACTATGGAATTCTAATAGATAAAACAACATATGCTTTTTGGCAATGATATTTTAATTAAGTTGAATAAGATATTTTCAAGGACTATAGAGAACATAGTTCATGTCTGCTTAGAATGATGGAATCATGAGAAATTGAACATGCTTATTATCAACTCCCAAGTTAAGCATGTTTGAGCACAAAATTGAATTACCGCCTCTCATTCACCAATAGAGCCATTCTATCATCAATTTATTCAAGAGCCTAAACAACTGGCATTTATGAAGAGTTAAAATACTTTCATGAAATGTAATTAATTATAATTTTTTGGGAACCATCAAATCATGAATATGAATTCATTATTAAAAGATAAAATATCTAAGTAATGCTCTACAATTGATTAATTTATCCCTTGAAAAGGTACACCTCTTAATAAAAGGTTCATTTCATCTCATATGTATGTACATATGTATGTATATATATATATATATATGCTGATAAAAACACCAACATAATTCGATTTGTTGAAGATAAATATATCAAATTGTATCATTTTTCCTTACATTAATCAATTAAATTTAACACAAAAAAACACACCAAATAAGAAAATATGTTAGAAGCTCTCGTGAACTTGTACTATAAGTTCTGTCTTTTCTTTTTGGTTTTTGCCAAACTTCCTGGGTAGATATACTGCTTTGAACGGATGCTACATGAACAATTACAACTAGATCAATTGCACTGCTCATTTTTCTCTTAGTTTTATCTGTTTATTTTCTTTTTGGTTGCTCCTCTAATCCTTCTTCTTGATGGTCTTCATAAAATGTTATATGTTCAACCCTGATCTTGCTTCAATGCGAACACTGCTGCCTCTTATTTTCTTATCAGATTATATCAGCTCCGCTTTTTAGAGGTCTAGACTGATAAGCATTCAAGGGCCTAATTTGTCAAGCTTGTCTTGGTTGGAGTCATTTTGTCATTGATAATCTTAGTGGCTTAATCTTTTGTGTGGTATGTCTAAACTCAATTAATAAGTACCTCTTTTAAAAAAAAGGGTATTGTAAGTCTATAACTTGACTGAATATTTGTTAACTTTTTTGTTAATATGAACTGGTCTTTTTGAATTATATACTTGAAAATATACCTTCAAATAAACATGTTCATAAAAAAACCATTCATGCTTAATTTAATATGTACAATGCAATCACGAAAAATCCTACATTGAGAAAACACAATTTCGATTGGAACAATATCCCATAGCCAAAAATGATAAAATAAGCTTAGTTTTCAAATTTCAAACAATCGAACCTTATTTGAAAAATCTTATATATATATATTACATGGGGATACATATACTCGGGGTGTATTTAAGGTGTACTTCGAGTGTATTAAGGTTTGTACTCACAAACTCATTTCCACACATACTATTTCTTCAATAAAAGCTTGGCTTGTTAATTTTTTAAAATTTTTTTGCTGCCACCGTGAACACTCCTAACCGGATGAAATATTACGTGCAAACAAGGTAGTTGTGGATTTGATAATATTGTGATGA